GAAGGCAATCAGAAGTCTGATCAGACTTTTTTATTTTTAAGCAGGGCAGTGTTTTTCCCTTTGCCATAAAGCAGTTGGAGAGAAATCCCTGGAATCAGGAAAAGTAATAAAATAAACGAGACAAACCAAATTATTAACAAAGTTGGCACGGTGTTCCTTTAACAAAAAAAAAAGTCCCACACACTCCCAGTTTCTTGAGACATCTTAATAAGGATGTAATTCCACATTTGCTCTCGCTGAGCAAATCAAACAGGGTGATTTATTATTCAGATGGGCACAAAGGATTTCTGAAATGCAGAAAGAAGGGCTATAAAAGCACAAGTCATCAGTAATGAGGACAAGCTAAACTGCCTTTCAAATCTGAACAAAATGCAGCCATTTAGGGTCTCATACATCACACTCTCCCAGCCCCTCATTTATTTCCACACTGTACAAGCTGCATGATAATGGAGCCAGGGCAGAATTCAGCACCTACTGAGAACATCTTGATCAGACAAATGATTCCTCACCACAAGGGATCAGAATCCTCGTCCTCAGAAGAACAAACAAGGATTTCCAACCACCGCTTTAGTTCCCTATCCAAAAATACCTGTGTATGGAAAAGGAACTTTTCTGAACTAGAAACACAGTGAAAATATGAAAAAAACTCCCACTTCTATTCCAGGAAAATTCAGATCTTTTTCATAGTATGAATGATAAACATCTACAGCAATTTGGGTTCCTGATGGGACACCATTCAACTGGAACCCAAAATCTCAGCTTTAGCTGCTGAGACCTGCTGTTATATTTCCATCTAAAGAGAAACTGAGAGAGAGAACCAAATCCTGTTCCTTCTTATCCCAACAAAGCACAGAAATAACTATCAGAGCTGATAAGGTTACTCAGCATTTTCCTTCTTGGAGCAGCAAACCCACAAAGAGCAGTTCCCTCAACGAGCTGGTTAATATTTTAGCTGCACATGGATATTATGGGTATTACACATAGGCTGAAATCCACTTTGTCTTCAAAAATGTTCCCCCACATGAAGAGATGTGGAATTAGCTGCACTTTACAGATAAAGAACAAACAACAGCAGAGGCTCAAGTGAATTGTCCAAGCTCATGGAAAAAACTTATCGTGGAGCAAGACACTGCATCAAATGCCTCAAATTTCTGCCAAACATGACTCTGAGACACCTTATTTCTTTGGCATCACAGCCAAGCAGAATAAATCCTTCCTCCAAGCAAGGAGCACCTCCAAGGATTTGATTGCATGGAGACCTGTTTGAAATTCAAGCCAAGTTTGCCTCCACCTCAGCTGGAGCAGAGAAGCATATTTAACATCCCACCATTTTTCTTCCAATGGCAGGCTGGAATAAGTAAATAAATAAATAACCAGTGTAGCCCAGGAAGCCAGGCAGATGTCACCCAAAGGCATGGAAAGAACCACAAAGATTCAGCAGTGTCAAAATACCTGCTTTCAGCAAAGCCCGGCTGACAGCACCGGGCCCAAGGGACTAGAGGGAGAAAAGGCACAACATTGTCCACATCTGTGTTTCAGATCCAGTGAACTTCACCCTTCTTTCACCCCAAACAGAGTCTGTAACACTCTCAGACAAATTAGGCTGGTCCTAAAGGATATCCCTCGGAGCCCAGCTCAGGTATTTAGTGTTGGGACTTAAATTCTGCCTCCTAATTTACTCACTGTAGGTCCAACAGCAGGCCCTGCAGGAACGGACCCAAGCTGTGAGACCTTCCCAAGCCCCAGACACATCAGCAGCTCAGCACAGCCCACCAAGGGGCACCACCTGGACATGACACTGGTCCTTTCCTTGGCTCTTCCCTGCTCACAGGGCCCTGAACTCTGCCCCTCAGTGTTTCACACCAGGGGAGTTTAAACAGCAGTTTTCAGGCTGATTCTGAACGTCACTTTGGGGTTGGTTTATCGCCTTCCTCACCGGCACTCCCTGAAACAGCTAGCTGGTAACTCCAGCTCTGGCTCCACGTGCTCTTCCCTGAGCTGGATTCCAGCTTGTTTCCTCAAAGACTGACAAGAACTCCATAGACTGATCCAGAAAATTCCATTTTAGCATTCCACTGTAGGACCTGCACGTTCACAATCACACAGAGCACCTGCTCAGCACACACAGGAGCAGTCCTGGAGCCAAACCCGAGCGTGGGGAGGGAGGACAGGACTTGGTGCTGCCAGGCAGGAGGGCACAGCCTGACCCTCCTACACCAGCACCTCAGTCATTCAGAAATGCCCTGTCTCCTCACACTCTCCCAGAAGCTGAATTTGAGAGAAAAAAAAATAAAAAGTAAAATCTGAAGTCTGTAACATCAGGTTGTGCTGGAAGATCAACATTTATAAGTACACACTCCTCCCAAAATTTCTTATGCAATTAGCAGCGTGGAAGAAGGACCCCCTGCTGTACTTCTCCACAGAGAATATCACTAAATATATATATATATATGTCTCACTGCTCTCAAATATATGATCTCCCTCACTCCAGAATCCAAGGCAGGACTTCCACCCCCCCACCTGCCCATGCCATGGGAACACACCATGGGAAGACACCATCACAGCCCTGAGCTGTGCACCCCCTCCCTGACAAACACTGGGAGGAAAAGGCAGCCTTGGGAAGGCAGGACACTCCATTAGGGAGTAATAAACCTGTAATCTAAAACAATTAAAATGAACTGTCTCTTTTCTCTTTGCATCCTCCCAGGCTGAAGCCCGACCTCTCTCCCCCTTCTCAAGCACTGCTCTGACACTACATTTCATTATGCAACAGTTGTGCTCAGCATTTTTAAAGGCTAAAAAATTGGCAAAGGGGATGGTGAAGCATTTCCAAGTTCCCAGTGTATTTACTTCAACGTGCTTTTACAGTAACACGAACCCTGATAATCAGGAAACATTTCATTCTTCACAAACCCTCATTTGAAATATCCCTGGGCACACCAATGGTGTCAGTAGTTACACATGAATCTGGTCCAGAACCAGAAAGTACTTTCTAATTCTCTAAAAATCTACAGAAAATGCTGTATGGTTTATAAATGGGGCATATGCATAATGCTGTGCAAGGCTAATCAGCCCTGAGACAACAGCTTCTAAATATCATTATGAAGAAGACAAGAATGATGCTTAACTGCTGCTTCTGTCAGAGAGATTCTCCTTTCAAGCCACTCAGGATATCGAGTATTTTCTTCTAGTAATCATGGTCTGCACAAAGTCCCATCTTCAGCCTGGGAAAAGCAACAGCATCTCCTACCACTGATCTATTTGCTCTGTGGAAGGAGCACATGCTATTTAAAACATGGTCACCCTACCATGTAATTTTACCCACGTCTGTGTACAGGCTGCAGCCAAAAAAACACATTTATTTTGGGTACAGAGAAATCCACAGAGGACCTGGAATACAGCAAGTCAGCACTGCTGAAAGAAAAGCAGAGAAAAGGAAAAAAGCAAAAGCGTGGTGGTTGCTTTCACATCAACAAGCAAGTTGATATTTAATTCTTCCCACTGACGTCTTGGGGGAAAAGAATCTCTGATAAAATACCACGAGAGATCTTAAGTGTGATCGAAGCCGTGCCACTGCCTTGGGGAGGCCACAGTCCCTATCCCTGGGCAGAGCAGCAGCTGATGCAGAAATCACCCCCTTGGACACCCTCTTTTAGGGCTCAGCAGCAAACCTGCAGAGTAAGGAGCAGAGGAAGGAGGGCAGTCGGATACCTGGACAGGTACAGGCAGGGAGAGCAACTTAGCTGCCCTCTGCTGACTGTCTGATTTGTTGAACATTCTCTGCTCCAGTCCTGCACAGAGGAACTGCAGTTTCACCAGCGAGGAATTCCGTGGATCCATCTCCACGCCGATGTCTGTGTGGCAGCTGTGCCCACAGGGGTGTCCCTGCCGGCTGTGGGGGTGTCTCACAGAGCCCCTGCCCAGCCTGGCCCCGGTGCTCCGGCCGCTGCAGCAGCGCCGGGTGTTCCCTGCTGCAATGGGCTGCTCCAGCTAATTAACTCCAGAGAGACACCCAGGACTCCAGCCAGGAATTCTGCTGCATCCTGCCCTGTGGATGCACTGACTCGAGCAGTGCCCAGCCTGGGCATCCCTCCCTGCCGTGCTGAGGTGTTTGTCAGCCCTGGCACTGACGGGGCGGTTCGGGCCGCTCTGAGCTGCCAATTCAAGTCAGGGGCCGCTTCAGTAACCCCGAAATCAACAACCCTCACCAACGCCACCCATGGCCAAGACGGTGCCACCACAGAGAAACTGCATGGCCTGCACCTGGTGGTACCTGGGCTAGGTGAGTTTTATATCACAGTGAAAAGTATTAAACAGGAAAACTACTGGAATTCTCAAAATGAAAGGAGACCAACCCACCGTTTCACAACTCGGATCAATTCCCGAGCCTCTTGTGACATCTTCTGTCAGTCAGTCTGGTAAAACACACACGACCCATTTAACTTCCAACTTTTTCTGCTATTAAAAACTAATCCTTCTATAAAACGACAAAGAGGTTTGAGGGAGAATGAGGAAAGATGGGATTGAAGTTTTAAGCCCATTACCGCATTTATCAATCCCAGCTGCTCTATCAAAGTGCTTCGCTCTGAACTTGCGTCCATTTTCCCCGAGCTTTAAAAGCAAATGGGAGTATCTATTCCTTCAGCACCTCAAACACTTGCCCTCCCAATAAAACGCAGCCGTGTAGCTTTAACCCAGCGCTTCGCTGAAATTCCCCATGGATCAGCATCACCCACTCTGCGGCTGCTCCAGTGCTCCCGTAGCGCAACTGGAAAACCGGGGTGCTCGGGGACGGTGTGTATGAATCTATTATTAATGAATCCACGAGTCGAGGAAATAGAGGAGTAACCGCGGGTTTTTAGCGAGGCTGCGAGCGGCGGATTCCCCGTTCCCCCCTTCATTTTGCGCGGACCCCGCGCAGCGAGCATCGCTCCATCCCACCATCCCACCTCCCCCGCCCGCCCCCGCCGCCAGCCCGGCCCCCGGCTCCTCCTCCCCGCTCCCGCCCGGCTGGGGGACGCCCGCCGGTCCCGCTCAACAAGTTCCCCTCGGCGGGGACCCGGCCGAGGGGACCCCCGGACTCCGAGCCCCCGCCGCAGCCCATGAGGGCAGCGGGGAGCGCGGCGGCGGCTCCGCGGCTCCTCCGCGGCAGATGCGCCGAGGCTCTGACGCCCAGCTCGCCCCGGCGGCGGGAGGGAGATGCTCGCCCAGACCGCCACTTCTGCGTGAGGAAGCATAAGGTAAGGGACAGCCCTGCCCGCGGCTCGCTCGCCCCCAGACCCCAAAACCCCTGCGCTCCGCTGGTTTTTCCAGCGGAAAACTTCGTAGGGATGAGGATAAAGGCTGGCGCTGAGCGCCAGCGTTATGCAATAGCGTATCTGCCTGCCTGGGAACAGCTCCTGCATCCAATAACTTTCGTGACAGAGAAGGAGAGAATATCCCGATCTAGCAAAATGCCAGCCTTTCTTTCCCTGCTCCCTTTCCAGCGGTGCCTGGGAGGGGAGAGGTGTAGCTGGAGGATTTTCGGAGGATGCACGAAGTGCTTTAGCTTTTCACATGGCTGATGGCGAGGAACTACCGCTGCTTATTAACTTCAGCCGTCCTAATGAAGTGTCCGCACAGCGCGGCGATGGAGGAGCATCGGATGCGTTCATCCCTTAACTTGCTATTGAAAGCCAAACCAACCCAAAAATCCTCCTCGGGGGCTGCACTGCTGCCATTCAGTGAAGTGTGAATATCGAGACGCAGGGCTCTCACCATTTAATACACCCAAGTCCCTCATCACCATCGGCACAAATTGGGGATGCCGTGAAAACGCCGTGGGAAAACGGGACACAAGGTAGCAGGGATCCATCCCTGAAGTCGCGGTCCTTGCATCCTGCAAGGCATCCCGAGCTTCCCGCTCTGCATTTCCATCTTGCCTCTCTATCTCTTGTGCAAATCCTCTCCCTTGACCTCAACGCCTGTACTTAATGCCATGTTTACAGGGAGTTACGGCAGCGAGGGGATGCAGGACTGCAGTTCGCTGGGATCAGCCTGGGGAAGGCGGGGGGGTTGAGCAGCCAGCCCCAGAAAAATAGGGACATCTTGCAATGCTGGGAGCAGGGAATATATTCCCTGCTTATGTCATCCTCTCCCGAGGGCTCCGTCCCAAGGGAGCTGTGCCCCCCTCTCTGCACGAGTCAGAATAGGTAATGGAGCGGTTCTGTTTGACCTTGTGTGTCTAAGCAGCTCAAATCCTGCTCGGAGGAAAATTTAACTCATTAGGCTCTAGGATCGGGAAGTTTGGGAAGACCTGTTCTTTCCAACCTCTGAGAATAATTTTATTTTTTTTTTCCCCCCTGCTGGCAAACCAGTAACAGGTCAGGTCTGATATTAACTGGGAATTTATTCCCTCTCTTTAAGTGTTCCACGGTGCTCACCGTTCACATTTACAGTGCTGTCAGGAATGCTGCATGTACCAAGGTTAAAATCGGGCTGCTGGCTGGAAAAACTACTAGCTAAAAATAAATAAATAAAAATAATTACATGACATGCAACTGTCCTAGCCATGTACTCAGATGAATTTAATGTAGAATTTCAAGGGAACAGACCTGTAGTAGAAATATGAAAGCAGGGAGAGTAACGTATTTCCTTACTCTTGGTGTGATGCCTATTGGTGTCCTACGAGCCTGCTCTGTCTCCACTACAACGATCTGTTCTCTCCCAGTACAAATACCACTTCTAAGTTAAAAGCTGGATTTTCTTCTGGCATTAGAAATTCAGATTCAGATGAGAAGATCTCAGTGCTCAGATATTACTGATTTATAGCCTACCTGGAGGTTGATATTCTGCCATACAGTGATGGCATATGGTCCCTGGTTTCAGGAGAAATCCATAATGTATATTGCTAATCCAAAGGCTCAGATGGAATTGTTCTAATTCTAACAGTTCTAAAATGAAATTCCTGCCCCAGAGTTTAATGTGCTGTTGCACTGAAAGCATCCTGCCTTCACAGAATGGGGAAGGCTGATACTAAATTAGTTTTTGGGGTGTTTTTTTGTAAGGATGTTGTGATGCCCTTGATGAAAAATGTGTGTTCTTTAGGACTCCATTGTTATTAATGATGTGTATTTTTAACAAGATGCTCAAGATGATTCTAATCTTGAATGGAATCAGTGCCTTTCCCTCAGATTGACACATAAAAAGCAGCTGGGCAAGAGCAGCACAAGAGAAAGTGTTAGTTACTTATCAAGAAGGCCAGCACTTAATATTCAATGCACCCTTCTACTAATTATGCTCACAAACAAGTAGCTCATAAGATCACCGCTGTGTTTTCTTTCCCAGTTAACTACTGCACTGATGAGACACGCATATAATATTATATATTAGAATTTATATCTAATTAAATCAGAGGGGACAAAAAAGCAGCAAAGTTCAGTGGAGATGAACACAGGGAAGGAGCCCAAGAGCTGCCGAATCACCTTCCTGACAAGCACCAGCAGTGCCCAAACCCTCCCGGTCACCACAGCACACCATTGGTTACCTGGAGATCCAAACTCCACCACAGGCTGTGCAAAGGACAAGGGAATATCAACACTCCTGTTGTTTGTCCTGGAGGATTTAAAAGCCAAACTTAGCCGTGCCAATCCTTTGCCGTGACTGATGTGGTGGTGAAAGGCAGGGAAACCTCTGAGCCTGCCAAAAATCCAGGCTAAAATGCCAGGATACCTGCACAAAGCTCTCCTCTCGAGCTGTGATGTCTCAAGGCTGTCCCAACCACAGGTCAGGGAGAACTGAGGATGTCTAGTCCCATAATTCAGGCACACTTGGGGAAATTATAGTAGATCTAGAATAGCTGAGAGCATAAAAAATTCACGTGATTATCTGAACTAGCTGTTAATAAAAAGGTCTTATATTCTGCTCTCTAACAGCCACGATTTAAAAACTGCTGAGAATTTGTGGGAGATATTAAAAAACATGTAAGCAACAAATCTACTTTACAGCCCCTACCCCCTTTGTATTTTTACTAATCAGTTTGCAAATTAAATAGGCTTTATGGAAATGAGATCATGAGCATATTTTATGGGGAAAAATCATCTCAGAGCAGTAAATTCAGTGGGAGTTCCTTCTGAAAATCAGTGCTTGCTTAGAAAATGCTGTATAACCTATGAACGCACACAAGTACAGCTCATTAGGTACTGCCAATTTTAAATTGTTATTGACCACCCAGAATGCACTCAATTCACTTACTGTAGTGGAGCACATCCTCACTTTGAAGGTTATTTACTACAATTTCACTCCGTGCAGGCAGAAAACTGATCCCTTAATAGTGACAACAGCTCACCTTGTTCACGAACACGCACAGCCCCGTGTCGGGGTGATCAGAGCCCTGAAGCTGCTTTCCAGCTCCACAGCCAAGCAGAGTCTCACAGACAAAGAGAACTGGGTGTAAAAATAACAATTCAGTGATCAAACAGCAAATCTTGGTGTCCACTTCGCCTGATTTTACTGCAGGAGTAGATTTTCCAGCTAAATCTGCTGGATTTGATACAGAGTGCAGAAGGGTAAGGGCCATGTTCACAGCCTGAATTAAACAGAGATGGATTTCAAAGCTGAAGGCCTCCAAGTCCTGCTCTGTTTGGGTGCAGATCTCAACTTTTCTATCTGTCATTACAAGAGATTTTTGTGCTGGAGCTCCACCACGTGTCCCATTCCCCAGACCCTGCACATCACTGATACCTGGTCTCAGCCTCAGCCCACATCAAAGCCAGTGAGTTGAACAACTCACAAAACCCCAGCCTTCCCTCATCTTTATGACATCCATGGGGAAGAGAAGCAAGCTGTGTTATTTTTGCCTGCCCATGACTGCTGTAACATGCCTATAAATAAGGCCCACACAGTTACAAAATTAAACCAGTTTAAAAACAAAAGCACGGGAGGCTCATTCCATCTGGTCTAAGTGAGGAGGAATTGTCACAAGTTTTAAAAAAAAGAAAGCTTTGCTTGTTTTGTGCACTTCCCCACCTTCCCTGCTTGTTTTACACCTTCCCTTCCTCGCCTCTTCCATTTTTTTTTTCCCAGTGCTCGTGCCAAGGTTGTGGTCCTGTTGCTTGGAAGGATTTGGTCAAGTCAAAGCTTATAAAGCCCAACCATGGTGGAAATGCCTTTAAAAACTGGGACAGGGGCTCTCTGATTCTCAGCACAAACCCACTTAAGCAGGTGTGTCAATTCAGGGCCGTATTTTCAAGTTAGGAACATGAAAAATAGTTTTGGTTTGATTAGTTGCCTCCTGGGAGAAGGAAGAAGAGAGGATTCAGTAAAATCACCAATGTTTGTGTATTTATCCACAAGGAGCCCAGTGTCTCCTTCAAACCATTAGTGATTGGGTTGTTCATGCCCATTTTGTTATTATATTCATTATTCTCTGCAAATGCAGACAGAAATGAATGAGGAGACATCCACGAGTAAAGAAATTTAACTTGTGGATCAGTTTAACACATTTTTGTGTATCAAGGCCATGGGCAAATAAAACACAGCGATATCTCTGAGGAGCTGACAGAGAGACAGATAAAACATCCCACTGCTGGAGAGAGTCATCCAGCAGAAATTATGCTTGAACTGCCTGGTAACACTGATAACACTCAGCTCTTCTGTAGACTGAGCCTAAGTTGCTGAATTCAAGAGGAATCTGTGTATTTTAGGTAGTTCTAGTTGAGTAAGTTGGTGAGAATAATGTGTTACATCCTTGCATTCACACCTTGTGATAAAAGCACACAAAGCCACAATAAAGGGGATGCAAATTATCTGTCTGGTTGTGGTGCCTCACTCAGACAGTTCTGGAGTTATCACCCAATTCTCATTAATAACAGGGGAGTCCTCAGTGCAGCTTCTCTGGCAGAGCACTAACTGTCTGAGCAGTAACTCAGACAAAAACATTCTAAGAGGGGCTTCAATTATTTTTTTCACTTCCTAATCATCCATATCACAAACAAGCCATCCTAAAATCCAGAACCACAGAATCACAGAATGGTTTGGGTTGGAAGGGGTCTCAAAGACAACCTGGCTTCAAATTCCTGCTACAGGGGCTTGAATCACACCATGATTATTTTAAGGTCTTATTCCGCATTGTCCCAGGTCCACAAAACCTGGCAGCATTGTGTTCAACGTCTCCACACCATCTTTGCCCGCTCTCATTGCTTCCTTCTCCACACAGTCCTTCCCAGATGGAACCAAAACCATGTTCCCTGGCGACCTGGAA